ATTGTTATTGTTAAATAAATATCGTCAAATAATCGAGATCTCAATTTCAGTGAAAATAATCGTGATTATCATTTTTGCCATAATCGAGCAGCCCTACTCTCAAAAATCATGTCAATGTGGAGTCACATCCAGCACCATGTCTGTATGAACGTCCTTTCTCTGCTCATGAAGAGTGCTGGAGGCCACAGTGATGTTAGATGTTCTCCTTGGTAGGAAGTTTTCTGTATTTTAGACACTTTTCCACAATCTACACAGAAGACTCACCTGCACAATCTCCAGCATCTCAGCTTTACTGATGTACCCGTTCCCGTCCAGGTCGTACATACTGAAGGCCCATTTCAGCTTCTGCTCCAGCTTGCCGCGCGACGTCACACTCAGCGCGATGATAAACTCCCGAAAGTCTATTGTCCCATCCCCGTTAGCGTCGAACGTGCGGAAGACGTGTTCGGCGAACTTTGAAGCGTCTCCGTAGGGGAAGAAGTTACCGTAGATCTTCTTGAACTCCTCCATGGAGAGGTTCCCGCTGGGGCAGTCCCTGAGGAAGCCCTTGTACCACTCCTGGATCTCGTGCTCGGTGAAGTCGGTGCTCTCCAGCAGGTCCTGCATCACCTCAGGGCGGAGCTTGCTGTTCTGCTTCCCCATGTCGTCGGTCCTGTCAATCACTCAGCTCACAGCTGGGAACACAGAGAAGACAACGAGCTTGATTTTGAGATGTGACAAAAGTAATAATGTATTTTCTAGTGCTTTTAGCGTTAACCGCTGCAACCATCTTTGTATTTTCCCATAACTCCATGAGTCATGTTACACATCCACGAAGAACAAATGTCTATTAGTGTGAGACATTCAATGAAAAAAGGTTTTGCAAGGGCGACTGTTGCATACATTTTTCCACTGAAGGGTTGCTCAGTTTAGACCTGTGCTGTGTTATCAACTGCTAAAATCAAATGTGTCTGTTTTTCTTTATAAAGCACAAGTTCATATTTGGACTATCAGCTACACAGATGAGCTAGCTGCTGTCAACTTGAGTAGCTTCGCCTGATATGAAGCAAAAATGTAAGCAAACCCCTCAGACGTTACGTTGATCACTCCTTTTTTAAAACGAATGGAACTTTCCATGGAAAATAAAAATAGCTCTGTGGACCCTGAGTGCACACAGCACCAAAAGTACATGGATTTAATTACTCTATAAAATCTCCGCAAACACACTTAACTGGGCTTAGATGCGCAGTACAGTCAAATGATTTGGAGACGGATCTGCTTAACAAAAATCGTTCAGATTCATAACCTCTCGAGAAAGACAATTTCTTTATTGTCTTCCTGGAACTTGTGATATCAGTGTTTGCGGTCCAGATCTTTATAAAGAGGTTAAAGCTTTACGATCCCCATCTGCAGGCTCTGAGCTGAAATGTTCATGTAAAATGAGAATGTTTACTTAAAGTAGCGACAATGATGATTCATTAACTTTGGGCCTTTATTTGAGCTAGAGCAAATGGACCATTACTTTATTACTAGTATTACTTTTAAGACAGTAAAAGCGACGGCGCTCATAAAAGCTGCTCATTAGATTTCGTGTTGAGCAATTGGTGACTGCTGGCTAAGAAGATCATGAAACTTCTCAGGGAGTTTATTTGTGTATTTACTTTATTCTTTTATGTGTCTTGAAATCACCCAGTATTTCACTGTTTCCTAGTAAGGCTATATAAAATCAAAATGCTTAACAGCTGGGTCATTCAAATACCCAAGCACACTGTTTCTTCTTAAAATGTCCACTCCCAAGCACAATCGTGTTATATAACGCCACTTTTGTTTTGTCTGCATTCAATTATGATATTATTTCTCGATGACGCCTTATTTATTTTCGTTCTTACTGCACTGGAGACTCAGTAAGGCATGGAAATACTAAGAAATACAGCTGTGAAGTGGTCTTATCTGCCCTTTTGGTGACACAAACAGGAAGTGCTTGCTCCTAATCTCAGAAAGATTGCGCTGTCATTACACTAACTATAGTGTCAGTGTGTATGTGAGTGTACAGGCATATTTTTCAGTATGAAGGCAATCAAAGTATATTTACAAGTACCAAGACATGGTGACTGCATATGCTTTAGAATTCATGTGTTGAGGCTGTGTACATTTGTGTACAGTATATATTCAGCTCTGTGCGATGTGCTGTTAGGCCTGCCTTGGCCTGCACTCTGAAAAGGAAATGAGTCACTTATGTCCTCAAAACCACCATGAATAAAAGCATGTTTTAGGAAACCATAGGAAATGAAAGCCTCTTTTACGTCACGACGAACAGCTCGTTCACAGTACTGAGCTGAATACTGCAATCTCAGAGAGAAATGAGAAGCAAAAGAGAGAAGGTGACTTCTTTGCAGTCCCACCCACCAGCAAGTTCAGGTCATATCAAGGTTTGACTAAGGCCGTCACCAAGGAAAAATATCCCCAGTGTAAGCAAGGCTATTTGAGAAGTGATAAGTTAAGTGAGTGCTGAATTATCTGAGCTGCAGCCGTGCTCTAAATCATGGTACAATAACCAGGCAGGCGCTATAGAACAGCTACCACTTCTCTTCAGTAAACATGGCGATGAAAAGTGCCCTGATGCTTGGGGTGCTACGGTCATAATCAACTGCTTGAGTACCATGTGACTGATGACACTTATACAATCGCCTTTGTTTACTTTTTATTAGACGACTTCTGCTAACACGTAGGGCACAACAAAGAACTGCAGTGGACTGAAAATGTGGGCCGGGGGGATGTTAGCACATACAGCATGCGCGCTATAATCCCAAAGTATGAATTCTGACAAAAGTTAAACAGGACTAAATGGTCAAAAACTTTACAGCGGTGTCAAAGAGTAAGCAGGGCTTGAACTTCTCTCCTTTTTGTTTGTCACACAGCTGTTTCTCTAGCTTTTCTGTGAGCAACCAAACGCAGCGGTACGAAGGTCTACAGCAAGAGAATGTCCCCATATCTAAACAATTATCACGTCTTGCCTCATGTTACTACAGCTGGCTTTTTCTCTCCGAGTGGCCAATATAAACACGGTATTTCCAACATGGTCAGACACCACAAATTCGTTTTCTTTTTCTTTACAACTGCTCTAAAAAACAGCAGCTATGCAAGCAGCACTAAAGGTGGTCCTAAGCCCAGCTGCACTTTGAGCTACATTCTTAAGATGCGAGGCCGACATCTTAAGATGTCTACGGAATAAAGATGCAACAGGAAGATGTCCATTAGAATTTCAGGCCTCAGTGAGACTGGATGCATTCAGACTTATATCATGTTCAATGTTGCAAACAAGATCAGAAGTTTTACAATTAATATTTAAGGGAACATCAATCCAGCAGCAGGTAATGGAAATAACATTGGCATTTATACAGTATATATACTGAGAATTTCACTGCAACCTATCACATATGGTAGATATTACACTGTGAAGGTGCAACATCTACCATAGAGAGATGCTGCTAATGTAACCAAATGTGGCTGCAAAGCTTGTACAGAATATGAAACATTAAGCTATTTGTTTCTACACCAAGTCTTTTGTTACAATTTTGACACTATTCGGAAATAAAAATGAAGCAGTGCTTACTTTCAGGTGGTTTCTTCAGTGTGCAATGGTACAGTCTCTTTTATTAGATGATTCATAAAAAGAAAGAAATTCAAGACCTTTAAAATTAAATTAAATGAAATGACGGACACACGTGATTTTTCATTTTTCTTCTTTGAAGCAGGTGAAGCTGAACAAAGGTTTTAGTTGAATAACTTTTAAAAACTCTGACTTAGTGCCAATTACCACACTGACCGAATGTCAGCAACGGACCCTCGGAGCGGTTACACCAGAGTCTGTCGCCAAGCACTTCACCTAATGAAATCCACAGCCGTGACCCTGTCTGCTGCTCTAACACCAGCCTGCGTACACACACAGACACATACACACTTACAAATCTGTAATTAGTGACCCACTGTGCCCTGTCACCTGCTATTTCCAGCGCGTACATATACGCTCACACAGCCCACTCACCCCACACACCGCTGCAGCCATGAAACCACTCTGCCAGTCCTGATGACATGCTTAGCCAACCGAGGATGCTCCTGGCAACCCACTTGATGATGACATGGATTTTCAGCTGAAGCCTGTATGTGTTTTTTTCTGTACCACTGGAAGTTCTACGTTTTGTGGTGGTTTCATCTTCATGTGGTTTTTTTTTTTAATGACCAAAAAGTTCCTCAAGGAGAGAAAAACCAAAACTGGCTACTTCTACGATGAATAGCCATTCTTGCGGATAACATTACCATTAATAAATTAGTGTTATTGAAAAGTGATTTTCGCTATCTTTGGTAAAAATACACAAAGGGGACTGTAAAACTCTGATCTAAAGGCCTGGCAATCCTTAGGACAACAAATCAGATAGATGTCTATGTATATGTACTGCAATGTGCATAAAGGATTGACAGCAGCTGACATTAAAACGAGTAGGCACTGCTGAGTGACAGGACACGTGTCAGAGCTTCTCAAGGCTGCTGCATCCTTCAGTGTGCTCCTCAGAACGTCAGACAGTGGAAAAGCTGTTTTTTTTGCATTTCAGGCTGGGGGTGCTAAGTCCTCATAATATGTCCTCCAAAAAAGCCTCTTGTGTTAGATAGGCTAATAGATGGCCCAATTTGAGTTTTGGGCTTCTTCTAAGCTTTAATGTAAGATGTAGTTCCAAGCATGCCTAGTAACCCACGGAAGCCACTTTCATGAGCAGATTATCTACTGTGTGGAAGATGGATAGTGGTCCTGGATAGTGGATCCAGGCCAACGTTAGTGATTTTTGCTGGATTTTAAGACGTTTAAACTCTAGCAGTGACCTGTAGTAGTCGAACTTTTTCAGGTTTTCATCCTAGATATGTCTTTTTATGATAATCAGATTGAAAGTAGAATGCAGGTTAAGCAAACAGGCTAAGGATCTTATCTTGGTTTCTAATTACTACACATGGAAAACCTTGAAGGTAATATAGTGACATCCAATGTGACATCCAGCCTCAATGTAAACACAGGGATTAAGTGGTTCCAAGGCACAATGGGGGCTTGGCTTAATCTGACACTGGGTAAGAGGTGGGGTGTGTGTTCACGATCACATCCTCACCTCCGCCGTTAGGATCACCAATTAATCTAACATGTATGTCTCTGGATTGTTTGAGGAAACTGGTGCGCTTGGAGAGAAGCCACGCAGGCACAAAAAGTTCAAGTGAGAGCATCAAAGACACTTTTACTGTTGAATATGACTTCAGAAATTGACTTCTACTTCATCAGTTGATTTATTTTAGTTGTTGTAGGGAGAGGGAGACAGCAGCTGCAGCATTCTTTAAACACCAAATGAACTATCATTCAAAATGAGTCATTCAAATTGAAGTAAAGTCTATGCACATCTGGTTGACTACGGCTTGGATTCACATTCATAATTTACAGTCCTTTCAGCTTTGCTGAAGAGACTTTCTGATCACTTCCCGGGTGGACAAAATCATTTCTTTGTAAAACAAAGGTTGCAATCAAACTGTATGAACATGTTTATGAGACAGTGAAAGGAGAGAATACATATTCAGTAAATATTTATAATATAGATATGAACCTTATAGAGTCTTTCATCTTTTTCCTCTTTGATTCATAAACTCCTCACCTTTCTCTTGC